TTTGAGTCACCATGGCAACAGCACCAGACAAAAAGAGGTGTTGTATGTAATTAATTACCAAGTAAACTAAATATTGTAATTTAACTAAAGGGATTACACTTAATTCTTATGTAATTTAAAATAAAATATGATGCAATTACATTAAATAGGCTACTGCATAAACTATAGACCAATTCAGTATAAAACAATAGTGGATTTAACATACATTTTTAAAAGGAACATTTTTTATGTAACATTCTCCCTCTACACACTTTGATCAATTCAAGAATAATTCATGCAATTGTATATTGTTATTTTGAAAGAATTAAAAGTGCAGATTATTGTTTCTCCTCCTTGTATTGTTTAAGTGGTTGAGGTTGTCTATGGGATTTAGCAATTAGTAGTATGTAGAACAATACTTTCTGATCTACTTAAGTAAAAAGTAGTTAATTTAAAATATGAGTAAAAGTTGCTGAGTAAAGGCGGGCATACACTGTGCGATGTCTGTGCGATTTCAGCAAGGTACCTACTCACACTAAACGAGTAAATCGCATGCGATGCAAAGCCAAAGTTCAGGATTTATGTGCTCACACTGTACGGTCCGATCGTCGAGCTGCGACTTCACTGCTCACACTATACGTGTAATATCTGCGATAACCCCCTGGATTGCGCCTATTTACGTGTATGTATCCAGAGATATTGTCAAAACAAGCATCTGCTATCAGTATCAAGATGATTTAGTATTTTCAATTTATGCATTTAATTATTATTATTATTATATTATCATTATTAGAGGAGGCCTATAGGCTAATTTTACTATTAAATTGATCCGCTATTATAATTAATTTGCCACACAATATTTTCACAGCACATAACCAACATGCGTGAGGATAATAAAATATTAATCTTACTCCTCATTAAAAATTGTCTAAAACATTTAGGTCGATTACAATGAATTATATACAAAATAACTATTAACAGTCTATAATATGTCCGAACATTGCCATTATTAATCATCAATGAAAATTAAAAACAGGTTTATTTCAAAAACATTGTTTGACAAAATAATATTTAAAAGAGGTGTTACATATCAGGTGGCTTGAAGACGGTGGGTAATATTATCCATTTTGCAACACGAACTGGAGGTAAGCAACAGTAATTTGTAGCTCGTTTTTATTTTAATTTTATTTTTGCTCCAGATGAAATGGTAAAACTTCTGTTTTCGCGCAGGTGCAGTGAGGGAAAAAACACTGAGTTTAGGGCAATCGGTTCGTAGCTTTGCTTCAACTGTGCGATATAGTCACGAGGAGCGACCAAAATTTCTGACATGCCAGAAATTCATCCGACCATCCGATTGTCGATCGTGAGAGGTTAATCGCCTCTCGTTTCTCCCTGTACACTGCACGAACACTGCACGACAAACGACGCACGACAAAGCTGAAAATCGGTCCGACACGAAAATGAGTCGCACGAGTCAGAATTCGGCTCAAAATCGGACGAAAATCGCACAGTGTATGCCCGCCTTAACTTGTTTAACAGCAGGGATGGGGTGGGGGACTCCCCCATGTGGGGTTGTAACGTATGAGAGTTTCACAGTATGAGAACCGTCTCAGAAAATATCACGGTTTATGGTATTAAACAATTATTAAATATATAAACTGCATTATTAAATTACGGTTGTTATTATCATCAGTTAAAATGACAGTTAAATAAATGTAACATTTGTTCAATAAAACATATGTAATCAACTAACTTCAATAATTGATTATGAATAAGATTAACATCTTATTTTTATCATTAATAACTTATTAAATTATGTTTGAAAAATAATTGAGTTCTATTAAATGTTTTTTTTATTCCAATTTTTTAATGATTTAATAGAAATATATTATCAAAAACGGTGATAATCAAATAAAAGTTTAGCAAACATTTTAATCCTTTTACTTTTTGGCAAAGTGCTGCGAAACAGATTTAGTCAATTAAACCATGGACAAACAATATATATTCCTTAAAGAATGGGTAAATACATTTTAGTATTATTGTTGGTGTTTAAACAGCACTTCCTCTTTAAAAAAAGGGGAGGAGACCGCAAGAAACTCTGGGTTTACTGAAGAAAACCTACTCCCGACCAGGTTAGGTTCACAGAGTAAGTTACCATGGTAACTGACTCCGAGTATAAGTTACCTCTCTTTCAGAAACGGGCTTGACTTACTCTGCTTTCTTGGGTTTGATATACCCTCCTTTCTGAAACGGAAAACCCAGAGTTTCCCTCATTTCAGGGTTAACATACTCAGAGTTTTCTCTTAACCTCCATTCTGAAACAGGCCCCTGGCCCCCAATTTTTGTTGTTGTTTGTTTGTTTGTTGTTGTTTTTTTTTTTTTTTACATCATTCAGAATGCTTCATGGGACTGTATAGTTTATACAAATAAATAAATACAAAATATTTTTGTTTCTGATTTGTTTTTTGATGAAATGTTTTGTGATATCTATCGAGAGACTGTGAAAAAGTGGGCGTTCTTCATTGTCCTCCGCTTTCTCCTACGTCACACCGCATCTCTTTCATCAGCTCTCTTCCCAATAAACAGGATTTATAGGAGCTATAATAACCGCCCATACACCCTTCTCTCCTGATGCCTTTATCTAGAGTTTCACTGACAATGAGCAATTATAAACTGGCCGACTTGATGTCATTAGTAATCATGGTATTCGTATGTGGAATAAACGCCTCATTTTTTATACAGACAGACACATAAAAGAAAGCAAATGCTCTGCTTTACTATGTCAACATCTGCTCTCAAATTAACAAACCCGTACCGAG